GTGTGGTGTCAGCTATGAGTCAGTCTTGACTCTGTGGTACACAGCATCACTTAGGTGGCTGGATAAAATCCATCAACATCATGGAGTTTATGTTCTCTGATCCTCAGATTCAGTCATTATCCATGTATTGTTGATATTACTTCTTAAATATCATTAAAGTGTATGTATCTTTGAATCCTTAATCATCAAGATTCAGACAATGATCTTTCTTCATGTATTTCAGAAGATAAAATGCATTGTAGCCAAACTGCTTATTGTAATTATATATCTGTTTGTGTAACATCCTCTTGTTTGAAATCCATCAATCTCTCACCATTTCTCCAAGATAGCATTTATTTAATATGACGTCGTGTTAGAAAGGGCCAGTCCATGGAAAAAAATATCATGTTGGGAAAGAGAAAGAAAGGAAAACCCTCAGCAAACTGGATTGACTCATTAACTAGGAAAATGAACTTGAGCATATCAGAGATCAGGAGGGTGGCTAAAGCAAGATACAGATCTGTTGTTTGTAGAACTGCTGTGAGTCATAGTTGACTTAATGGCATCTAAGATCAACAACACAAAGACACAATTATTTGGCCCTGATTTTGCTGGCCACTTCCCTCTTCTTATTCTGTTCCAGTCTTAATGAACTACTTTCCTTTTCTTAAAAAATTATGATTTGAAGGAGAGTTTGCATTGCAAATTGATTTTCCATTCAGTCATTCATATATATTTTATTTAATAACATTACAGTACTCCCAATGTAATTGAACTCTCCCCACTTTCTCCATGTAATTTCTAACTTTGTTAATCCTTCTTTCTTACTCTTTTCTGCCTTCTAGGCTTTACTTTTGACATATTCTGTTCTTTTTACCTTATATTAGGGTTAGTTACTGTTTTATTGGTCACCTTACAGGCTTGTTGAAGATCATCCAAAAATGGGTAGACCAGTAGTACATTGACAGACAGCTGCCAGAAATTCAAGCTCAGTTTAGAAGAGGCCATGGCACCATAGATGTTGCTGATGTCTGATGGATCTTAGCAAAAAGCAAAGAATACAAGAAGAATATCTATTTATGTTTTATTAACTATGCACAGCATTTGACTGTGTAGATCATAACACACTATGGTTAATATTGGGAAGAATTGGAATCCCAGAACATTTAATCATGTTTACACAAAATCTATATCTAGACCTGTTGTCTGAATAGAGCAGGGAAATTACTGCATAATTTAAAATCAAGAAATGTATGTGTTTGGGTTGTATCCTTTCTCTGCACCTACTCAATCTGCATGCTGAACAAATGCTTTAAGAAGCTAGACTCTTTGAAGAAACATATGGCATCGGGATAGGAGGAAGTCAACTCTTTAACAACTTGGATTATGCAGATGACACAACCTTGCTTGCTGAAAAATAAGGAGATCTTGAAGTGCTTGCTCCAGAACATCAAAATCTACAGCCTTCAGTATTGATTATATCTTAATATGAAGAAAAGAAAAGTTGTCACCAGCATGATAGATGGAGAAAAGATTGAAATTCAATGACAATCGACACTCTTGGTATCAGCAGTTAAGAAATCAAGAAACATACTGCATTGGGAAAGTCTACTGTTTACAGTAAGGTACCTCTCCAAATTACTAAGGAGCAGTGATACCAGTTTGAACATTGTGATGACTGATTCAAGCTGTGATGTTTTCGTTCACTTGCTGTACATCAGAGATCAGTAGGGTGACAAGAAATATGTGAGCTTTATATAGTGTTGGAGAAAAGTATTGAATATCCTGTGAACTGGCAAAAGAAAAGATAAATCTTGATGAAGGTGCCTCTACAGTGATCCGTAGAGGCACAAGTGATGCAGGTTCATCTCTCATACTAATGAAAGTATTCCTTGGAAAAAGACATTGTGTTGGAGAAGTGGAAGGAAGGTCAGCTTCAGAGAGAAAGTCCCTTAGCAAAATTAATTGACTGACTACAGAAGTGGGGTCAAGTGTGGCAGAGATGATGAAGATGATGCAGAATAGGACAAGGTTCAAATCTGTTGTTATTCATAGGGTTACTATTAGTTGGACTCGACTTGAGCACATATAAAAATGCAATAGTTTGGCTGAAAGTTGAGCCATGGGGCTCGTTTTGTTACAGGTTTGAAAGGTACTTAAGGACCATTGTCTTGAGTTTCCACCAATGTCTATTGGACCAGTAAGCCTGGCTTTTTAAAATGTTTTTGTTGTTGTTGTTTTGTGGTTGTTCTTATTTTTGTTTGTTTTTAAGTTTTATTCTGCATTGTTTCCCTCCTCACACACACACCCAGTCTGGGATCTTCTACTATGGTCCCTTTTGCAGTCCTTAGTGACAGCGGGATACCATCTATCTCTTCTGGTTTTAGAATTACAGAAGTTGAGATCTATGTGATCCATTAATTCTTTGCACTCATTATTATGATGCATCTTGACTTTTCTTCCCTTTGTTCCAGATAGGATGAGAACAGTAGTTGCACTTTAGATGACTGGCTTGTAAAGCCTTTAAGATTGTAGTTCTTATTCATTATTGAACTGCTTTTAATTCCTCAAATATACTACCCTTTGATGTATCTTATAAAAGAACATCCTTATGCTATTCTTTTCATTGCCTTTCTACCACTGAAACACATGTACATATACCCTCTCTTGTCATTTAGGTATCAGCATACAATGCCATTTACTTTGAGAAGCCATGCTGGTTGTGCTATATTTGCTTAGTTGTTTCCTTTGTGCATTCTCAAACTATTATGCTACCTCTATTAGGAGGTCTGGTGGCCCTAGTGGTAAGAAGCTGTGGTGTAATCCAAAAAGTGCATGGTTTGAATCCACCATTTGATCTACCAGCCAATTCACCAGCTATTCCATGGGAAATAATGGACCATCTCCTCTCATGTGATTTGACTGTGTCTGAAAAATCTATTGGGGGGCCAACTATGAGTGATTTCCAGTTTGTTGGCACACAACAGTAACATCAACAACATTATATTACTTAACAGTGCTATAATTTATCTATTTTGTTTTTCCTGTTGGACTCTAAATAATATAAGGGCAAAACCCCTTTCCTTATTTTCTCTAAGCCTAGAAGATATCTGGACAATGTGAAATAGTGAATTTATTTTATTTTATTAATTTTAATGACGTTTACAGAGATTTTGGATTTCCATTCATTCATTGTTGCACTTTTCCCCCTGCCCAGCCCTCCCCCCCAGTTCACCCCCCTCTTTGAAAAGTAAAAGAAAAATTCTTTCATTGGTATACAATCCCTCTGCACTCCCTCCCCCCCCACCCCAGTACACTCCACAATGCAACCTTAATTCTGGACTCTTGTGATAGCCATAATACCCTATCATATATCGCTTTTAAATTGTTCTCTCCCTCATCTGTTTCAATTCAGTATACATAATTTAACCAGTTTTTCTCAGTCTTATCCCAACCCTGAAGTCAGTCCCATTCTACAACAGTGGCACCATGCAGTATTTGTCCTTTTGCGACTGAGTTATTTCATTCAGCATAATGTCCTCCAGGGTCACCCATTTTGAATAATATTGCATGAGTTCCTCGGTTTTGAATGCAGCGTAGTATTCCATTGTGTGAATATACCACAGCTTCTCTATCCATTCGTTTGTTGATGGGCACTTAGGTTGTTTCCAACTCCTTGCTATTGTGAACAAAGCTGCAGTAAACATGGATGTGCATATATCTGCTTGGATGTCGGTTATGGTCTCTTTAGGGTATATTCCCATTAGTGGAATTGCTGGGTCAAATGGTATCTCTATTTGCAACTTTTTGAGAAGGCACCACACCATTTTCCACAGTGGTTGCACCATTTTACTCTTCCACTAACAGTGAATAAGGGTTCCAGTTTCTCCACAACCTCGCCAGCATTTGTTGCTTGCTGTTCTGTTAAATTTTGCTATTCTGACTGGGTTGAGATGATATCTCATAGTTGTTTTAATTTGTATCTCTCTTAGGACTAGGAATTTTGAACATTTCTTCATGTGCTTGTTGGTCATATGTTGGTCTTCTTTGGTGAGGTGTCTGTTCATCTTCTGTGCCCATTTTTCAATTGGATTATTTACCTTTATTTTGTTGTGGTGGTGAATATTTTTTTTTAATTAATATAAGAATATACCAATATTGTCATCACCTGCTGGCAATGGTGTCGGGAAAGACTATATACTGAAGTCATTTAGGAAGGTAAAGTAACCACTTGAAAAGAATGTGTAGACTTTCTTCTCAGGTTAGAATGATTGCAATTATCACTTTTAAAATTTGCAGTTAACAGCTTAATGTGAATTAGACCTGGAGATAACATCACTATTCCTCTATAAAATCAGAAATAAAAGTTCAGTTTGATTCACAAGTGAATATACCATTTACATTAATCATTTTGTGATCCAGGTGACCCTCTAGCTATATTTGTTCCTTCAGGTATATTTAATTTTTAGGTTAGAATCATAGTTTGTCAGTTTGTATTCTTCATATTTGCTTACTAAATCTTTTTCCCTATTAATGTGTTTACTTTTTAAAAAAAATTTTAGACTTAATATAGAATGTGAATCTTGGTGTTTAATCCACTGAAAAAGAATAAAACCAAAATAAATTGAAGTGATAGATTAAAAGTCTGAATTTTAATAATCTAAATGGTCATTTTAAACATTGTCTTAATGTTTGTACTGTTTAAGTTTGTTCTTCAGGGTGATATCTGTCTTATCAACAAGAGCTTTAACAGTTTAAATCGAGCTCAATAAATGACTCTGCCTTTTGCAAATTATTGATTTAGTCTCTCTCCAATTCCTTATCTATAAACTGAAGGTAAAATAGTATGTGTCTCATACAGTGTTTCCTATACAGAAAAAATAGAAATGAATACCAAATTTAGAAATTATGTGATTTAAGTTTTTAAAATAAAGTGATTTGAGTGTATAAAGGTGAGTAATAATACGGCTATGAAGTTGAAAAGTACTGCCTTAAGATAAATATTTTTCTCTCTTTAATAGCTCTTTGACAGATTGAGAGATGAAAATCCAGATTTTAGAGACAAAATTATAGCAATCAGCAGTGAGCTTACCCAACCTAAACTGGCTCTTAGTGAAGAAGATAAAGAGGTCATTCTAGATTCTGTCAATATTATATTCCACTGTGCAGCTACAGTAAGGTTTAATGAGAATTTAAGGTAAGTGTCATTATTTGCATAATTTTGAATTTCAGTATGTTTGCTTTAAAAGATATGATTTGAATTTTTTTTTAATTTGAAAATGCTTTGAAACTGTTTACTATACCATAGGGAGCTCTTGGAGACCTAATAAGTAAGGATTTGTGCTGCCGCTGAAGGCGAGTAGTTCAGATCCACTGGCTGCTCTATAGGAGAAGATGAGCAGTCTCCTTCTGTGCAATTTACAGCCTCTGAAAACCTGATGGCGGGTCATCTCAGAGACAGTTCCCACTTCACGGCAATGACTTTTGACCTTATGATAAGTGTGGGTCTGTAGTGTTAAGAGAATTTTCTTTCTCTTTATTATCTTTAAAAATATTGGCTACCTAGTATATGTTTATGTTTGGAAGAAATTGTCATGGATTTAAGTATGCCAGCAGAAAAGGAGGCGGTAAGAAGTGGGAAATATAGAATAGGAGAAAGAGCAGTTTATCTTAGGCAGAAATAAAATCTTAAGAAGTAATAGTGTTTCTCTGGGTTTCCTCCCTTCTTCAGGAGCTTATTTTCTACTCCATATCTTATCCATCTGAAAAATGAAACAAAATTAGGCTCAGTGTTTCCAGAATGAGATGAAGAAGCCTATAAATTTCAGTCACCCCTTATTTTGTTTTTGGTAGCAGGATTAATCAAGGGGTCAGATGAGTAGAACACACTGGATATAAGTTTAATTGTAAAATTTCATTTAACTTCCTTTAATATGCCCATTTCAAGAAGGAAAACATCATTTAAAATATTCACTGTTTTATGAAGTATAGCAAATATGCATTTTAAATAGTTCCTTTTTTTCACTAGCTTATTTACAAAATTATAATACAAATTGGAACAAATTCTTTCCATTTCCCTCACCATCCCCCCCAATCAAATTGTACAACCTGATGAGTAATCAATCCCCTCTTCTCCCTGTATATCCACATCCCTCTGCTTCCAGCCTCTCCCACCCCTTCTGGATCCTTATACTCATTCTACAATGACGGTTTTACACAGTATTTATCCTTGTGGGACTGAGGTAGTTCACTTAGCATAATGCTCTCCAGTTCCTCCCAAGTTAGGTAATAATTTACATTGTTCCTGCGTGCTACATAGTATTCCATTGTGTGAATGTACCATAATTTGTCAATCTATTCATTTGTGGTTGGACTTTTGGACTGTTTCCATGTTCTTGTGATGGTGAATAATGCTGCTATGAACATACGTGTGCAAATCTCAGTTTGTGCCTCAGTTCTCATATTTTCAGAGTATAGTCCAAGTAGTAGAATAGCTGGGTCATATGAAATTTCTGTGTTCAGCTTTTTTGAGGAAGCACCAAACTGCCTTCCAGAAGGGTTGCACCAATTTACAGTCCCACCAACAATGTATAAAGTTCCTTTCTCGCCACATCCTCTCCAACTTCTATTACTTGGCTGCCCAGTTAAATAAACTTTACCACTCTTACTGGACTGAGATGGTACCTCACTGTGGTTTTGATTTGCATCTCTCTTATTGCCGGTGATTTGGAGCATTTTTTCGTATGTCTGTTTGCTATTGGAATATCTTCTTAGAAAATTCTTTCCATAGCTTTTGCCCATTTTGTAATTGGATTCTCAATCCTTTTTCTTGTGGAGGCCCAGGAGTATTCTGTAAACTTTTGTTATAAGACTCTTGTCAGAGATGGTATTACCAAATGTTTGTTCCCAGTCTGTAGGTTTTCTTTTCACCCTGTTGGGAAAAGTTTTTGATGTGCACAGAGATTTAATCTTTCGAAAGTCCCATGCATCAATTTTATCCTCTTTGGATTGTGCATTTTAGGTTGTATTTGGCAGTCTCTTTATACCTTGGACTAGTGCTCATAAGCTTGAGCACAGTTGGCCTCTTATGAATGTTAATGGTGTCGGGCTTTACTCTCCAGGTCTCTGATCCTCTTTGAGTTGATTTTTTTTCCTATAATTATATTTTATTAATTTTCATAAACATTTACAGAGATTTTGGGTTTCCATTCATTCAC